AATGTGCTGAAGAAAGTCTGTCTTTGGCTGTGTAGACTATAGGTTTTGTCCTGCGGTTCTGAACTGTGTTATATTTAGAGGGCTTTCTGGGTGAAATGTGTGACATTAAGCTTATAAAGATTTTATTTCCTGTTAGTATAGCTATTAGGTTTCTGGAAAATACACTTTGTGTAGGGGAATGTTTTGATGGTGTAAATATCATATAAAAATAACCTGATACTGTTGTCAGTACATTACCTACAGATGTTGATTCTTCTCTGTGTTATACTCCAGCTGTTTTGAGCTGCAGAACACGTTTGAGAACTCGTGAATCCAGCAAATTTGCAGAATTACAGTGAAATTTTTAGAAAGAGTTATGTAATTGGATTCTCATTTCCATTTAAATGCAGTTTAACGTACATTGTGAGTTAAAGTATTAGTGAAGAAGATATTTAAAGGCCTAACATCTTAGAGCAGATTTGTTTATAAGCCCAGTTTAATTCCTTAATCACTTGTTTCAAAACTAAGCTTGAGCACTTTGGCAATCATACATTCATGAGCAGTCAAAAGAAATTATTTCTATCAATCTTCTGCCTCCTTAAATCATCATTAGAGAAAAACTTTAAAATTTAGGACTGACTTGAAACATAAGGACTGTTTATGAAATAAATTTAAAAAGGAGTGTGGTGAGCATTGAGGGGTGTATGTTTCCTGCAAATATGGGAAGATAGTGGAAGAACACTAGAGATCAAGGCATGATTTAAATCAATGCAAGGATGTGTGTGCATTGATACTAATAATGTTTGTGTTGATAATAACATTAATTATGTAGTGTTTAATACATTCTTCATATCAAATGTTTTAATTTATTGTTGTTACTTCAGTATTTTTAAGCCTTTTTTTTTTTCTTTTTTTGCTTTATCAGGTAAAAAATGTATGCGAGTGTAGAAATAAACTGATAGCACAGTTCTGGAAATCACATATGAGTTCAAAGAAATGCCCAAACTGCAAGTAAGTTCAACTACATGAAGAAGTAAATAGCTGGTGTAAAGTTAAATATTGTGAGCATTTGTATTAACTTTTATCTGCCTTTCCCGGTTTTCTTTTTTTTTTCTTTTTTTTTTTTTTCTTTTTTTTTTTTTTTTCCTTTAAGATCTAGGAGATCACTGGTGCGAAAAGAGCATAACAGCAAGCTGACAGTAAC